AAAAAAAAAAAAAGAGAAAGAGTCACACCCAATGTGTCTGGAACATCACTTCTACTAAGTCAAGAGGGAAGGAACCATACATTTAGAAGTTAATTTATTCGTCGAACCGAATGCAGACATCATAGACAAACCAATGGGAAAAGTGGTAGTACAGGATGAAATTGCTAGGAAAGAAAACTAAAGAAACAACTCTGTACAGGAAACTGTACAAGAAGATATTCCCAATATCTGATTAGAGTTCTTCAGGGGGTCTGAAACCCGTAATTTCTACGATCAGAACCCCCAGCTTTGGCAGGCATTAAAGGAGTTCTAGTGGCATCCTAACAAGAAGTCATGCAAGGAGAGGGTTGGCCCCCACAAAAAAAAGAAAAAAAAAGAAAAAAAAGAGAAGCAGACTACTATTCTACTTCCTCTAACTCAACAATTTGTGCCTGTCTCTCAGCTGCTTTTTTCCTTATAAAGAATCCCCACCTCAATGCTGCCTTAATCTTCAGGAATCCAACAACAGCTTTGCCAGGACGTGAGCGATCTTCATCAAAGTTTGGCATTGGAGATGGGATGTGAGGAGGTGATGTATACCCGTCTTCAGGCATATTAATAGAGGCTTGGCCCTCCATACTGAATAGGCAGGAGCCGCAGGACATGAATTGCTCAAGCATTTCATCACTTCTGGACATTGGAGATGGGATGTAAGAACAGATTCTATACCAGTCTTCAGGCATATTCATAGAAGCATGACCTTCCATACCGAAGAGCTGGGGCATGTGTTGCATGTCTTCGTTCTCAGGCACTTCATGACTTCTGTTGAGTTGCATATCTTCATTTTGAAACCCGTCTTCCTCTAACTCAACAATCTGTGCCCGTCTCTCAGCTGCTTTCTTCCTTACAAAGATTCCCCACCTCATTGCTGCCTTAATCTTCAGGAATCCAACAACAGCTTTGCCAGGACGTGAGCGATCTTCATCAAAGTTTGGCATTGGAGATGGGATGTAAGGAGGGGATGTATACCCGTCTTCAGGCATATTAATAGAGGCTTGGCCTTCCATACTGAATAGGCAGGACATGAATTGCACTTCATTCTCAAGCATTTCATCACTTCTGATCATTGGAGATGGGATGTAAGGACTGAATCTATACCAGTCTTCAGGCATATTCATAGAAGCATGACCTTCCATACCGAAGAGCTGGGGCATGTGTTGCATATCTTCATTCTCAAGCACTTCATGACTTCTGTTGCGTTGCATATTTTCATTTTGAAACCCATCTTCAGGCACATTAATAGGGGCATGGTCTCCCATGCTGAAGGACTGGGGCATGAGTCGCATATCTTCATTCTCAAGCATTTTATGAGTTCTGATGCAAGGCTCTTCCACTGTAAAGTACTCATCAACTCCATTGTCCCTGTTGTGTGACCAATCATCAAAGGGATTGATATTAGATGGCTGTACGGAGGGGCCAACATCTTGGAAACCTGAGCTAGTTGATTGTGGAGGACCAGAAACTTGGGTGAAGCATCTGATGGTATCGTTGTTTTTTCTGGAAGAGTATCTATTTTCAGCTTGAAGTTCCACCACAAAAGACCACATTCCTTGAAATTCACGCGTTAATTGTCCATTTTCAGCCTCAAGTTTCTCCACTTTAGCTTTCAGCTGTCCATTTTCAGGCTCAAGTTTCTCCACTTTAGATTTCAGCTCCCGATTTTCATCCTTTAATTGTCCATTTTCAGTGCGAAGTTTCTCCAAATCGGCATTTGTTTGCAGTTTTTCACGCTGGACATGCAGACCACACTCAGAAAAAAGGAGCAAACAAAA